GTCTTCGCGCCCAAATGTCTTTCCCCAGAAGCGCTCCGTGGAAAAGGCGTGGAGGTGCCCCCCAGGGGAGGAGAGCAGGCTGCGGTAAGCGGGCAGCCTTCGTTGGAGTTGGGGACGGCTAAGCGAGAGTGCCGGTCGAAGAGGCTGCTCTGGGGAAAATGATGGGCAGCGTGGAATCCCACAGGGGCAGCCCTGCCCTGTAGGGTCGCACCGGGTCAGAATGGCTCGGATGGCACTGGGTTTGCTGTGTGTTTTCCCTCAACTGCGCGTGAGTCCTCCGTTGGCGCCCTTCCTCTTCCGACGGTTCCCCCTTTGCCGCTGTAAAGGAAGCCCTGTTCTCATCTCCCGGTTACAAAAGGCCCGGGAGCTGGGCTCGCGTACGTGCTACTCGAACGTTGTCACCCCAGAAGTGGCATCCAGGTTTGTGCTCTAAAGTGCACTGTGCAACACCTACAGCTTGTCAGCTGTTGTGTACTGATCATTCGCGATCACGTGGGCCCCGGGGGCGCTGCGGCGTGGTAGTTGGGCCGCTCATCCCCTCTGTTGGCGGAAACTAGGATTTCTGCTCCCCTAAAGGCTTAGGGTCTCGGAAACCCTGGGAAAGGTCATTATGCTTATGAATCAGCCCCTTTAAGGCGGGCTGGTTTGGTCAGGAGGGCTTTAAACCAAACCCCCACTGCTGTTGAATCTGATCTGACCATCAGCAGCCCTGTGTGGGGGTTACCAAGATCGTAAATCCTGACTAGAACGAACAGCCGAATCCTTCTCGGAACGACTGGTAGCTGATAGATTTGAACCACCGACCTGTCCGTTAACAGCCTAACACTTAACCCAGAGCACCACCAAACTCACTGCCATCGAGTGGGTTGCGACACACAGGAACCTTATGCTGAGTTCCCAAGACTAAATCAGTGATTCTCAACCTGTGGGTCGAGACCCCTTTGGGGGTTGAACGACCCTTTCACATGGGTCGCCCGAATCATAACTTTAAAGCAGTGGTTCTCAACCTTCCTAATGCCCCTGTATTAAAGATAAAATTCCTTATGTTGTGGTGGCCCCTCAGTCAGAAAATCATTTTCTTTGCTACTTCTTAACTGTCATCTTGCTACTGTTATGAACCAGGCAACCCCTGTGAAGGGGTTGTTCCACCCCTAAAGCAGTCACAACCCACAGGTTGAGAACCGCTACTTTAAGGGAACAGCCAGCCTCATCTTTTCTCCCACTTAGTGGCTAATGGGTTTGATCCTCCTTGCAGTTAGCTGATTGTGCCACCATGGCTTATTAAAGAATGGTAGGTTATATTAAAAGCCATTATCTACTGGTAGATCATTAAAAGCAAGTTAGCAAGAATGGAGGCGTGGAGCGTTACTAGGATTCTGTTACAGTAGTCAAGATGAGAATTCTTGTGGGTGAAGTAACGCGGTGGCAGTAGAGAGGGAGAGATTGCATGTGTGTATGATATGTGTTGGAGGTTGATTGACAGAAAGTGAGGATAAAAAAAGCGTTATGGTGAAAGCTTACCCATTTGTATACGACAGAGGACATCTCTGTGTGTGTATTTACCTTCGTTCCAAATATGTTCGTGTATGTGGTACAGTAGACGGGGCAAAGTTATGAAAACTTCTTAGGTAGAACCAGACACCTCGAGGGAAGGATTTGCTGGACCCAGGGTCAAGACCATAGTTTTAGGGGACACCATAGTCAGCTGGCATCACAAAGTCCCCAAAGACCATTTTCTAGTTTAGGATGCAGCAACCTCAGTCTTTTTAAAACCTCATGAGCAGCCATTGGAGGTGCAGCTACAGGCCTCTCCCCATCCAGAGGAAAGAGAGTGATGAAAATTGAAGACGTACGGAAACAATTAGCCCAGTGGACTGATGGACCATGCAGACATCAGTCTAAACAACTCTGAGACCTGAAGAACTTGGCGGTGCCCAGCGCCCACTACCAACTGCTCTGAAACAGATCACATTAGAAGGTTCTAGATAGAGTGGGAGGAAAAATGGGAAACAACATTCAAAATCGTATAGAGCAGGTTTACTGGTCAGATAGAGACTGGTAAAACCCCCCAAGACCACAGCCCTTGGTCGCCCGTTGGGTCTGGAAATGAACTTATCCCTGTGACTCAGTTTTCAGCCAAATAATAGGTCTGTAAGGGTCACAGTAATATTAGTGAGGCGTGCACACCTTAAAAATACTCAAATTTGAAATCAAAGGGCAGCATTTAGCCAAGGACAAAGTTCAGAGGGCTTAGGAAAGGAGAAAGAAAGCGGGAACACGGTGGAAGTGGGATAAAGGATGCACTGAGGTGATGGCAGGGAATGAGATGAAACAAAATGTGTGGGAATTGCTGAATGTAGAACTGATGACCTGCTCTGTAAACCGTCACCAATTCACAATAAAGTTTTTTTTTAAGATTGAAAGACCGTGATCACACATCCTTTTATTTAAACTTCCTCAAAATTAAAAAGCAAACAAGCCAATAATTGTTAGAGTAGACTAACCTCTAACAATATCACGGGGTTCGCAGGTACAATTATACGGCTATAATATATAAAGATTATAGTAGAGTCAAAGAAGATAGGAGAGAGAGTAAAATAATGATGTCAAATGCATTTCATGGTAGCATGCTCGCCTTAGCCCCTCTTGGTCCACGTGGAGGTGGGAGACGAGAGGAGGAGAAGAGACGTATATTTCTAACCAAGGCTTATCTTTCTTTAGAGGGCATGCAAGCCCCCCTGAGTACAGGTAATCACATTCATAACAGGAAGGGGTTGCACCATAGACAATTCAAACAATGGGAAGGGGACAATTTAGGATATACACACAATAGGAAGGGGAGGGATTAGGGGTACCCATGTGACAAGATGGGCAGACCCTAGATTAAAGATGGCAGCCTAACCTTGGTCACCCTTGATTGGGCTGGACCATGTCTCTGGGCTCTCCTTCAAGGAAACAATCCACTACCCTTATCAGTAGGGAGCAGGCCCTACTCAGGGTGGGACCAACTATACAGTCTGATTGAGCTAGATGGCTGATAACCCTCCGGGAGAAAAACCTCTAAGCAGCTTGCATTGACCTCCAAGTGTACAGTCATTTGCTGTGTGATGCAAGCAGTGTCCTAGGTTTGACAACTATTTGGGGGAGTCAACCTGGGGAAAAACCTTTTTGCATCCCACAAATAATGCCCAGGTGTGGGGTTTTAGAAACTGGATAGGTAATGATGCCATGCAGTGAATAAAAAAGGTAAAGGAGGTGCTCGCCCTGGCAGCACATATACCAAAATCAGAACGATGCAGAGATTAGCATGGCCCCTGCACAAGGATGACATGTACATTCGTGAAGTGTTCCATATTAAAAAAAACAAAAACCTGAAGTGGGTGGGGTGGAAGCCAGTTCTTTTCCATCTAGGTTAATTAGAGATGTCTGAGTGTGGTAGCTACATAATCTGTCCACTTGAGGGCATTAAGAGTGAAGGGGTGGAGTCTAGCCTGTCAATCATGTCAGCCTGATGCTGCCTCCTTGTAGGCATGGCCTTCGCATGAGGATTCTAGGAACTTTCCGTTGAGTAGTCATACTCAGCTAGAGACATGCGCCAGCCCTGAGATGCTTCCACCAGCATTGGATCCACAAGACTTCACTCACCAGCCGTGTTCTCCCTGCGTTCAGCATCATTGCATGTGCTGTGTGCGTCTGAAGAGGCATTTATCGACTAGTATCGGTCATGAGGGCTAATATCAGACTTAGGGACTTGATCTGGACCGGACTGGGATGTTTTCTTAATATATCATTACTCTTCCGTATAAAGCTCTTTCCTCTACATATATGAATGTCCTTGGATTTGGTTCTGTAGTCAACCTGGACTAACACTGAGAGACAAGCTAGAGCAGCCATTCTCCACCTGTGGGTCACAACCACTTTGGGGGTCAAACGACCCTTTCACAGGAGTCGCCTAATACCGTCAGGAAATACGTAATTCCGGTGGTCTTAGGAACCGAGACACCGCTCCTCTATATGTCTCCAGGCGGGTCCACCCACATGCAGGTATGCCCACATACAAGTACCCGGCATAATGACATCACACCAATCCCATCACTTACAGCCTGTACAAATACAGGTGTTAGTGACAGTGTTGGTGACACATAATGTACTTATGCGGACCAGTCACACGTGTAGAGAGCAGCTACTGGGCTCCTCTGTTAAAAGCAGCTACTATGTTGAAAGCAGCAGTATTGGAGGTGAAACGGCACTTCATGAATTATAATTACTGGGTAAATGTAAAATCATGTACTGTAAAATCATCAACTACTGCAAAAAAAAAATCTGTACCATGGGAACTTAATCTGGATGCTGATCAGTCTTTTTATATTCAGCTGTGGTTGGTGTGAATACTGCCCCCTTGTGATAGTAACAGGTATGTAAAAAGAAAAAGCAATGGTAAATCATAAGAAACTTTAATGAACTGTATTGACTGCCATATATCATCTTTTGTATTATTAAAGCTATTGTATATTATTTTCATTAGCAAACCATCCCATGACAATGGATCGTGTAGAGAAGAACGTTAAGAAAAGAA